GGTCACTAGCATAAATCACCATAAATTTTGCATAAGGCAAATGTGTAATTTTCACTTAACGGCCGTCCTTTAAAAGTAACCTAGCTGTTCAGTGAGAAATTTTCCCGCCAAAACTTTTAAATGCTCGCATGTAAGGACTATTCACACCTTAAGGCTGAATTAGAAATACTTAAGTTGTACTTGGGCAGGGAACATACCAGTTTCAGGGCATTTCGGGGTTTACTTGTTTAAGTTCTTATACTGCGTCTGGCTTTTGTGGTACCACAGGAGCTATATAGATGAAAATGTGCGGCCTCCAAAGGTATTTCTGTGTTCAGTTCAGTAAAAGAAGCCGCTGTACTGCATAAAGTTTCTGTGCTGCGCCGAAACCTGTGATACCAAAGCAATCGTACAAGCAGTAAAAATTGCTGTCTTTATGCACCGTCCACTTTCAAAACAACTCTAATGCAGTGATTTCCTAAGGCACATAAAAATGTCAATTTTTGTTTGCAGTTTTCTGCGGTCATTGATCAATTCATCCTTTTTTTTATGCGTTTTTGCTTATATGCAAATGCAGAAACGCATATTGGCAAGAGGCTATCTGTGCGTGTGTGTGTGTTCGCACTTCTTGTCACTCACTTCCAACATGATAACCAAAAAAGCCATAAAGATGAAACTTCGGGAGCATGCGTCCATCACCTATGCGAACTTCCTGTTTAAATATTATCATCCGCGCACGCCTAGATCAAGCTTTACCGTTGGGATTTTACCAGTGGGTTCCCTGGCCAAGTGCCGTCCCAGGAATGCAGTACCAACCTCCGCGCACGCCTGAACCCCACACATTAGCACGTGAAAATTTTGGCGGAAGGATCACAGAGGCATTTCTGACTTTTGGCATATATTTCTTTCCTTTACAGAGAGTTTGCCCTTTTGTGCTAGGCAAAAAGCTTAGCCTTTTTGCAGTTTACCGTGCGTTCGACCCTACTTCGCAATACACATGGCGGGCACTTCACATGATGCTTTATTAGGTTACTGGAACAAACGGCTCGTGGGCTCAACCATCGACAACAGCTCACAATTGTAAGTACATATCGAAAGGTTCAAGTCAGTTGGGATGGCATCCTCTGGTCGCCTGATATTCTCGGCAGCTCCCCCCTTCACTCTTTATTTGCCGATTTGCCACGGATAGTCCAGTCGAAAGGAGATCCACTAGTATTTCATCAAAACAGTACAACGAGCATCGCTCCCCACAGATAAAAGCATATCGATGATTTCGCTGAATGGCGGTCTTTTGGAGTAATCATCCACGACGCATTTTAAACCGATGTTCAGAAGCAACTCGAAATACATAGAATTTGCACCTGCAAATTGCAAATATTTTAACAACTGGTTCACTTCATAAAACTATATGCAAGGAAATAATAGTAGCGCACTGTTTTAGGCATGTTTACTAGTTCCATATTAAGAATACAGGCTTTTAGAGACAAAAAAAGCTTTCATTTTAGCTTTCCAAGGAGATGCAATATGGCATCCCCGGCCCTCGACTATGTTTTTATGGGTAATCTGTATCTGAACAATTTCTTGATCGCAGCAATCCCACATGTTTGATTTCTCTTGTACAGCTGCTTCAATTTTAGCAGAATCTTAGCGAACAGATGGGCGAATAGCTCCAATAACAAGAAACAACGATAATGCAAACCTGCGACAAGCAGGACAAAATAACCAGTCTAAAATTTTGGATGCCACAGGGCATGGCAGTGCTTTAAAACAGAAAGGCAGACCAACTTTAACTGCTTCTTAAGAAATCTGATTTCATACGGCCCCGTTTCCCCAGGCTACAAGTTGCAGAAAAATGTGCTGTAATACTTCCACCCTCCCGCCTTCCACCTATCTGAAAAAAAGAAAAAACTGAATCGCAAAAAGTTTATAATCACTCACAGCATAATCACAACCTGTTAGAGTATTTTGCTTCTCTTTCATATCTTCTAAGCTTTCTCCACTAGTTGTAATGTATTCCACCAAATTCTGTGGTTCGCGATTGGAAACATGTGCTTTCAGCTCTGTAGCAACTTCCAATAAAACCACTCCATAGCCGTATACATCAATTTTCGGGCTTACTATTCTACTGCAAATTCAAAAAGTAAATTTAAATTAGCTAGCTGTTGGACACGAGAAGAATGATCACGCAAACAGCACAGCTTCAGAAATGCGCTCACTCTGTTAGAAATTCTCTCGGGAGATAGGCCAATGTGCCCTTGACACTTGAAGCAATTAGAAAGTCACCATCGTGCGATTCATCCTGGAAAAAAGTTATTTTTGTTTTCCAACAGACCGGGGAATTTTTTCCCATACAAGCCACGGCGAGCATCGCCAGACTGTCAAGCTCATTTTAATAGTTCTAATTACTGGACAACAAATTCTGGACGGTGTAACTTACTTTTGAGAAGTGATCGCGACATAACCCAAAATCACCTAGTTTTGGCTCGAAGTATTTGTCCAGTAAAATATTGGCTGATTTCACGTCACCATGGATTATTGGCTTTACCGCAACTGAATGCAAATAATGCAGAGCACGTGCACAACCCAGTACTACTGAAAAACGCCGTGGCCAGGAAAGAACTATGTCGTTCTGAAAAGAAGTATATTATGCCCCTCAAAAGCAATAAGCAGATAAAAACGGAAAAGATTAAAAACTCAGGCTGGATTAAAAACGCACCAGGCAGGCCGGTGCGATCATGCATTTTTGCACTTTTCGTATCGTAGCAAGATCGCAAGGAATCACAGTAGCTACCCCAGTGACATACTGGCCCTCAAAGTTGGGGATGTTAATAATATAGCTATGTGGCATGTTAGCTGTAGATGTCAACTTCAGTGACCCGACAAATGGAAAGTTACTGATCGGCGAAAAAGGCTGCACTAAAAGAGTTAAATTTGAAATCTTTTAGTCACACATGAGTAGAGAACATTCCCTTAAAAATAAAGCCTTCTAGCTTTTCTTGTTCCCCAATTAGTAGTTTTCCCATCAAAATTTTCACGTGTCCATACGTGAGCATCGGGCGGTTCTAAGGAGCTGAATTTGAAACCTTTTGGTCGTACATGAATGGGGAACATTCTCCTAAAGTTTCAGCTTTCTACATTTTATCGTTCCCGGGTTAGTGATTTTATCGCTAAAATTTCCATGTGCCTGTACGTGAGCCCCGGGCGAAAATTGAAAATTTCGTTGAAATATGTTTTTACTGCCTGTTGCAGCGCTTTAGCGCTGCATGGCAAAAACGCGTAAAAAAAGGTAGAGACATGGGAACTTGGGCGGCGTCGCAGAGCTAAGATAAGAGGCAGTTTATAGCAAAGTACTTTTGGCTCAAAACTTTCGAAAATCACGAGAAAAAAAGCACAGAAGAATGGACTGATAAATTTGGTTCACAGCAAATGGAAGAACTTTCCAGGATTCCCATCGTCAAAAAAACACGACTTATTAAAATCCACTATGACCCTCTTTGTAAACACATTTGTGCAAGTGAGCAAATCCATCTTACACATTTGAAAAGACAATCGAACAGAGAGCCATTTGCCATGTACTGATAGAGCAGACACGGTTCGGGCCCATCAAGTGAATACGCATATAACGGCAATATATTATCATGCCGATACTTCGACAATGTTCTCAACTCTTGTAAGCTCTGGCTTATTTGTTCCTTCTAAAGAAACACAACTGAACTTCCAAATACAAAGAAAGACATGCATGGAAAGGAAAACTGGACTGAACTGGCCAAGAAATCAATGAACCAATTCTCTCTCGAATTTCAAAATACTGCAGCACACATATACGCACTTAAACGTACAGAGATGAACAATAACCTCAGAACCACAGTGGTCGGAAGCCTGGATCCGTTTCACCGCAACCTGAAATTTATCAATGAAGTATGGCCAGAGAACGGGCGACAGTAAACCCAAGAAATTTCAATGCAGTAAAATTACAGGACTGTCAGTGCCGATCGATGAAAAAATTTCCAAAAAGAATTAAATTTAATTCACAGACTGATCCAAGCAGCATATGGTAATACGAAGCAAATTATGCTTGCCACGCACCTCTGTTTGTTCCCATGTTGCCTTGTAAATTGTCCCATAGCCTCCCTTTCCAATAATATTATTTGCGCAAAAACTGCTAGTGATTTTCGCGATTTCACTGTAGCTTATACATGGTGTGTTCTGCAGGGTTGAGTATATGACGCGAGATTCCGTAAAATCGCTAAAAAAAAAACAATAAATGCGTTGAGATTCCTTAAAATAAAAGGCCTTCGATAGTAAATAATGACCTGCTTTCCGGATGCAACCAGCCTGGACGATCAGGCTTCGCACTCATCCACGATGACGGCTCATCAAAACATCGAGCAACAATACCATCTGACTAAAAACCGGCATTCAGAACTAAAGTTTAACGTTCGTAACTCTCTTATCCATGAACCATAGACGCCGCATTATTCACGGATTATCAAGACATTTTAAGAAGCTCGCACAAAAGTGAACAGCAAGCTATCGGAAATAGCACTCAAGTCGGATCAAAATTTCGTTAAAATGAAGTGGCAGGAGAACTAAGCAAGAGATGAAGGGAATGGCCAGTAGTCTGTTTTACGAGCCCTATAAGTGCTATCGCTAGAGTGTCTCTTTTCCACAGAAATTCAGGTCGAAAACAGCAAAGAACAGCATAGCGCATCCTGCACCTCCAATTATTTGAATTCGACTGCATTTGCACAGCGCAACAAATCTGGAGAAATTTTGCACCAAAGGCTGCCTCACTTCGGCTACATCCTCCTTGCCCAGTCTGTCTCTCCTCCCCAACATGAGTGTTGCAACGAGTAAGTTACCCCAGCTGGCGATGTGGCGGTATCAGGAAGCATCCTTCTGTTGTCTTCCTCGTTCAACTGCAAGCACTCCCATTCCCAGCGATGATAGCGTGCATCCACTGCAATCCTCAACTCAATCACACCAGCGCACCTCTGTGATTAAAACTCCTCATTTTGCACCAAATAATCAAGCGAATATGTCGGAAAATGCTAATTTATCGAAAGCGCCTGGCAATCGAGATCGGAATCCGATATTACTAGAAGTACAATGGTGCTCGCACGCTCTGGCACCTCAGACTCTCGGCTGGGCTGATCACCTCGAATTTTTTCACGCCACCTGCTCGATGTGCTCCACCACCCGAGTGGTCTTTTGGAGCCACACAGGTGCCAATCACTGATGCAAGAAGTTCACCAGTTCTTAGCACAAACAGATTTCTTGTCCATCGAGTTTCACTTCTACGCGTGATCGAAATGGTAGTCT